TTTTTAAACACCTGCAATCACCATATTGCATCACGTTTGATATAAACGCCAGCATATTTTCAGTGCAACTGTATAAGCAAATTATAACCACTTCCTAGTTCTTTCTGATTCAGTAATAATATAAATGGAAGGAAAACTCAGTACCGGGCTCCTACTCTGTTCTTAATCAACCACCCTTTCACAGGGAAACATCCTTCGTATATTTTTATTTCTTTACATCTCAGTTCTTGTTTCTAAACGAGTGATCCTACTGGAACTCTAAGACACTATGAACTACCGAGTAATCAGTTTGTGTATTTTTCATGGATCCATGCAGTGGAATGTTCCAGCAACAAACAGACGGAAGTACTCCCTAAGATGACGCACTGATGTGTGAACGTTGAGACGCCATAAAAGCTGGCAGGCCATTTACTGTTACGGGATTGAGTTTGCTCTGGAGATGTTATTAATTTTTGGTAAACAGAGCAAATCCAGTTCATCAAGATCTTCTCAAACAACTGAATCATGACATGGAATTACAGACTCATTGGAACATCGACAAGGCATCGTTTCCTAGGTATGACTGTTTCCTATCAACGAGAAAGTCAGGACATCCTTGGGCCATTGTCTGAGACAGTTCAAGCAGGCGTTTGCTCCCTGGGACCTCAGCTCATCATTTCTCCACGTACCACGTGCCTGAGACCTGAAATTGCTCACAAGGCCTTCACTTAGCGCCAGAGAAAACGTCCTTATGTCATACGAAGGCGTCTTCCTGTGTACAAACCGAGCTGACTGTGGGATGTAATCTCACAGGTTGTGCAGGAGACACACTGCGAAAGTCCCTTCCAAATGGAATGAAGTACCCCAAAAAATGATTAGACATACATGAATGAAGATGGGTGGGCATCTCTCTCCACTAACTTCATCTCCTCTAAATTAATTGCCAAGGGCTAAGACTAGATCTTTCTCTGTCACTTTTTAAGGCTTTGTTCATGACCATGAACAGGTGCAAGACTTGGATAACAGTTTCTGTGGTACCACACCAGCCTTCCCAAATGCAGAGTGAGGGTATTCGGTACTCCTGCATCATCAAAATGCCCACTCCCCAGCCACGTGCTGTACTGATTAGCTGCAACACTCCCCTCAGTTCCCTTCTGTGCATAAAGAGGGCTACAGAGACAAAGCTCCCCAGCAACTGGGCACTATGATCCACAGGAGTGATGTCTCATAGACACCATCGACTTGAGAAACCATGACAAAAAGTAAGCAAACACTTCAATGTAATTGTTTAAGACTGTCAAGTAAACGCTAGACAGACACGTTCCTGTGGGCATGTCATGACAAAGCATATAAGCAGTTAACCTTAGCAAATCAGTAAGTACGACTCAAAGGCATGTAAAATGAATGCTGTGGTTAAGTGAGGTGTTATAATGCAAAGGCCAGGCTTCTCCCCAGCCTACTACCTCCCAGAAACCCCCTAGCCTGCTCCTCCTGCGGGTTCTCA